TTCTGAGCTGCTGGAGAAAGAAAGCAGAAAGCCCAAGAGTTGGCAGTGTAAGTATATGAGAAGCCAATAGACAAAGCCAGAATACTGGTAAGGAGATGAGGGAATGTAATGAAGCAATACAATGGCATGTATTTTCAAGAAAAGCAACTTCTAAATATTAGGGAAACCATGGGAGAAAGTGCAAAAATGTCTGAAAATATCAATTGCAAAACATGGAGGTGCAGAATCATGTAGAGAATAAAGAGATAGGCTAGAAGGGCTTTGCAAGTAAAGATGAGTACTTCATGTCTGCAATTTTTGCCGAACAAATGGAAGTAAACATACAGGGACAGCATAAGTGACAACTGAGAAAAATTATTTCTTTTCTAGAAGCATACTGAATGGACACGGGTGAAGTTTAATTATCAGAGCGAAAGATGCTGTGGTACTCAAGATCGTGCATGCCTAGATGCGAATTTTGGGCTGTTTAAATGGGTAGGGAAAAAAGCACTATTTTATGTATATTTTGTGGTAAGAAGAATTAATAGTTAGGTGGGTGATAGGTAGAGATCTTGTGGATCAGTGTAAGAGTATGTTTGTAGCATTGCCTGCGGCGACAGTGAAAGGAGAGGGCAGAAACAGAAGTCAAGATCCTCACCGAATGTTAGACTGGGGATGAGAAAATCCTCCTAAAAACCAAGGGGATGGCTCGGGGCAGGAACAAGGGGCTGAAGGTAGAAGAGGTCAGAAGCTCCCTGTGTCACCAGAGGTGACATCCACGGAAGATCTCAAGGCATTTCTGTGTCTGCTATAGATGGAGCCTTGGAGTCCTTCTGCAGAAGTAATAGTTTCAGTATGCTTGCCACTAAGCAGCCGTAGTTCCCATTGCACCCCTGTATCGTAATTGATGCCAGCTCATTGCAATGGTGATGTTACACATCACATATTTTCATGACTCACAGTGCTGTAAGTTACAGACATACAGAGCAAAGTTTACAGCACTCTCCTTGAACACATACACAAGAGTACAGCTCCTTATAGCCTGTTACGTGCTATCTTAACAGCCACCATCCCATTACAATTTGGCCTGTATAAATGATATTTTGAGGTTAACATGAGCTAACTGATTTTGCTTTGCAAATTTATACCTGACTTCTCTGTAAGTAAAAAATATGTTCCAAATATTATTCCTGATCAGGCAAATTAAAGTTTGCTTCACAAAAAATGCATTAGTTAGGAGACAATCCTGTATTTTGAGGCAAAGGTTGAAGTATCTGCATACATAAAAATGACAATTCTCGAGAAGTGGTTATTGGTGGAACATTGACCATGTATTTCAGGAGCATGAATCCATGGATGATTATTACAGCCAGGTCTGCTGCAGAGGATTCAAAGAAAGAACACGCTATGGATTTTCTTATGTATGTGTCCAGAAATCTACCTGTTCCACACCTCCAAATCCAAGCCTGCATCTAGACTTTCCTGATGTGTCACTGCAGTATTTAAAATATCATAAACCAAATACTGGAATGTAACCTCCTCAAAATCTGGAAAAGGCAGGACATATCACATAGTTGCACTATGTGAAGTTTACATTTTGAACCAACTTTAAATATACCTGGATAATCTTCATTTGGAGCTTAATTACATTTGTTGGTGATACAGTACTTCCTGACTTGGTGTTAGAGTAAAGGGTTACTTGTGTTTTCCCTTTTCTGAGGATAAGAAAGGTTTTTGTAAAGGGATCCGAGCCATCCCATCACTGCAGTGTGGCATCAGCAGTGGGGCAGCCTGCTGGGAGGATGGCTGTGGGGACCAGCACCCGTCCCTCCCCCAGCGCCAAACCTACAAACTGGGCGAGGGGGGGAAGAAACACTGGTTTTGCAGAGGCTTTAGGTACTAACAGGGTTTCTATTTCATAGAAAATTAAGTCTTTTGCCTTCAGAGAGCACCTCTGTACACTGGCTTTATGAAGGGCAAATACCAAGATTAAAAGTGTGTTACTAAAACATATTATGTCTATTTGGCATGCAATAATCCTGAAGAATGATTGCCCTTCTCCTGCTGATTTCCTTCAGGCATTTTACATTGGAGCAGGACCCCAGCATGGCAATGACAGTCTGTAGTCATGGTCTCGTTTTCTTGCTGTCCAGGTATGTACCTGCACAAAGGTTTTGCAGTTGGGCTGCCTGCAGTGAAAACTGATATCCAACAGATTTGTTTTCATTAATTTCTGACTCAGTTTTGTACTTACTTAGTTTTAGAATCCAATGCAGATGTTGGACTTTAGCTTTCTGGGACAGGGACTATGTTTTTTTTTCTGTGTTTGTACAACACCTAGCACCAGTAGATACTGATCCATGACTTGTACTCATGCAGTATAAATAATTAATAATTAACTTAGTTGCCATTATCTCTTTAAAAAAAAAAAGAAATTAAATCACTACGGAGCTAAATACCAAATGATCTTAAGAAGGTCTCTGAAAATCCAACAACTAACTTGTGTACAAACCTTGTAAAACCTTATTAATGAAGTTTTTCATCATGTAGATGGCTGTGGTGTCATCTGTTTTCACATGGCTGTCAGTGAACCAGCCATTCTCTGCAATCAAGATTCGAGGACTGTTGTATTCCAGTTTAATCCAGTTCAGTACTTCCCTCAAATTAAGTGACAAATTTTGTCCCATTTTTGGTAGAGTGCTTGGAGGTTTAAAGTTATTAGGACCAAAGGAAAATGCAAAAAAGTCAGCTGTTCCCTTTATGTAGTTTTTTTCATCCTCAGTAAAGTGTGGCAAAAATGAGAATTCATTTTTCAGTTCTTCTGGATAATCGCCGTCCCCATGGATGGGTTTAGCAAACCATCCGAGTACTCTCTCCATGGACTGCTGACACTTAGAAATGCCCAAAGCACCTTCCGATCGGTTAGGTTCAATCCAGTGGGATCCCAATACTATGGACATCATCCCCTTCTGATACGGTTGAAAGCGTTTTTTGTAGTTATGCCAAACTTTTGCATGAGCCTGATGAGAGAAAAACAGCATTAAGTTGTAACTATCTAATAAATCTCTGTGTGCGTTGGCAGCTAGACAGGCAGGTGGCTGTGTCTGATTCACTGCAGACTTCTATGGAAATATAAACAAACAGTTAAGGCATGTCCATTACCCTGCACAATTGTAATGGGTAATTACTGTTATACTGGAAGGTACCTCAAGATGAGGGTAATGCTTTTTGCCTTTTTAACATAGGTCTAAATTTCACGAGAGGTCCCAGCAGGGATGTGAATAGCTGTTACATGGACACGATGGGACTAAACTGCTGTTAATGGTTGGACCTGAACTCCGTGATCTAGACAGTCCCATCTAGGTCTTTCTTTGTCAAGCTGTGATTGCTGATACGGTTAAAATTTTAAACCATCTTTACAATTGTTCCATAAATTATGCATCTCAAATGATGTTACTTTGTCAGTGTTGGCTCTGTCCTATTAACTGCTCTGTGCTATGGGGGCTACCTGCACTTATTCTGATCAAACCACCCCACCCCATCCCTCTTCTTGGGATACACTTCCATTTGTTTTAGTTTGGCCTCATCATATGAGTAAGTGTTAAACTTTTGATATTCGCACAGTCCCTAAATGTAAAAACTTGGAGAAAGGAACCAGTTGCAAAGTTTGAACCCAAATGTCAAGTTTCACAGTTCCATGTGAGAATTTTGATCCAGAATTTTAGTTCATTTCTTCTTTGAAGCTGCTATAATAAATATTCTGACAGTACATGCAACAGCACAGAATGAAGCTTATTCATTTTAAGTACAGGGCAATAACACTTTGGTTTTAAAAGGAAATTTGACAGCAGTATTTCATAAGATCTATTGGGTATGACATGTTTTAGTATTCATAATCTGCCAAATATTGACTGCCCTAGGACAGACAGAAGTTTTGCTATTCGTGTTAGCGACAATGAAAGCATACCTTGTATCACATCTTAATTACATTTTTCTGATTATCATCATGTTTTAGAAAGCTTAACATTGTCACAGACCAAAATTGCCTTCAAATGTCATGTTGTTAATTACTTAAATAGGAGAATACAGCAGTCAGAATTTACACCAAAAAGAAAGAATAGAGGGGAGACTGAGGAACCACTAGGGTTGTCAAAGTCCCATAGGAAAAGGGGAGAGCTAGGCTGTCAGAAAAGGGTGACTGTGGATCACAGTGTGAATCGCACCAGAGGATCTGACACAGGGCAGGGGAGCTGAAGAGCTGTCAAGTAACTCAGGTTTTACCTTATTCTGAAGTGTGGCTTCATACTCTCAAGCTGGAAAGAAAATAACTGTTTGCACCCAGAAAAAAAACATTGAGAAGCACTGTGAAACACTTGGAGTGCCAAGTTAGACCGCCATCATTACCAAGCCAAACAGCACTGCTTACCTTTGACAATAATTTCAGTTAATTTATCTAGAAACACACAGCCTTGACAGTTCAAAAAACCAGAAGACCTGATGTCAGGTAGATATTTGGTTAAGCTAGGGAGTACCAAAGAATTACAGTTCGTGAAATTTTGTGTATCAGTTGTTTATGGTTTCTAAGGTCATGGTCGTAACATTTGTTCAAGGTCTGGTTTTGAAAATACTGATAAAGTAACATTAACCTTTGAAATTCAGGTTCTGTAGCTGAAAAGGTAAGTCAGCAAAATTGTACTCATGAGGCAAATTGCAAGATACAGTGAAAATATTATACAATGGATTTCTTCCCAGTCTCATCACAAAATTTAAGTGGTCAGTGCCATCTCCTCAGTTACCTTCACTGTCTTCTCACCAAGGTCCCTCCAGCCCAGGGTGGCTGCTTGGACCAGGCTTGCGTTGTCCTCTGCCTCTAGTGATTTCTCACCTGGTTAGTACATTTTTTTCCCCAGACACAGCCTACTAACACCACTGTTTAATCAAAGGTATATGGTTGCATCGGCTTAACAAGCAAAACCCTGCTGAAGTCAGCTGTATTAGGCACAGTGCCAAGTAGCATGACAATAGCACCAGGTAAATCTTAGCAATCACACACTTCTAGGTGGAGTGGAGAAAGATGGCTTTGCCAAAAAAACAACTAATTAGAATGCAATATTGACATGTAAAAGATAATCAGGGACAACTCATTGTATTCATACGCATCTTCAGGAGGCTGATTAGAAGAAAGTAAAGTTACTATTAAAATATTGTCTATAGTACAGAACACAGCCACAGGGATAATTGTACAGGAGTAGACCTCAAGTACAAGTAAGTGCATTTAATATGAGTCAAGATAGGATCCCCATACACAAATTTGGTTGTGTCGCTGATGTCTCTTAATTCAGAGGGTTAACTACACTGAAAAAAATTGTCACTCTGTCTATAGTAAGGGTTTTTACAGATGTAGTAGAGACAATAGCATTTGGTTGCCTATAATTCTGTTTTGAGTTGTTAATTATCTGTAAATCATCTTAACATTCTCAGATGGAAGATGTTCGCTAAGTGCAAGCGATTGTTGATGGAACCAACTGATTAATATAATTTGTTTTGTAAGACCACGTATGAAACAAACACCAATTTAAAAGCTGTATCCTACATCAAATTGGCTATTTTGAGTAAATCTTGACTAATGTTTTTTCAGTTAGAGTTTAATCCCTAATCTTTCGCTTTCCTTGTTAGATCAAGGACAAATGTCAAGGCTAAGTACACAGTGAAAACAAAATCAATATTGTGTATTTATTCTGGATACATATGACACATTAATTTCAGCATTTTTTCCTGGTATTAATACAGAAATTATTCCATAGACTTGAAAGTGACAGAGTGCTATGTCAGTTAGTAGCAACCCTGTAAAAAGGCTAGATAAGTCAATTTAATAAAATTAAGACAACAGTATTGTTCTCCTTTCTTCTTGAAATATTCTCATACTCCTTCAAACTCTGATCCTGTAATTTACCATGTATGTATGCAAAGAGCTTACAACTGAAAGACCAATACTTTCAAATTCTTAAGATATGTTAAAGTCAAGCAATTCTCCTTGAATATCTCAGCAATGAGCACACAAAACAATGTCAGGGGTATATGGAGTTATTTTAGTGTGCTGGAGAGCAAGAACATTTAGGAAAACCAGAATTTAAAAAATGCTAATAAAATGATTCTGGCTTCGTGTTTAATTGTTTGGTTTTTAAACCATGAAGAGCTAGAATACAGAGACAGATGATGATGGTGTTAAACATCATTTTAGAAGAAGAGCAGGCGTGTGTGGCTTATTTGGAGAATGTATGTTAATTCAAGGCCCTTTTGGTCTGTGGTAAAGATGCCACGTAGTTAGTAGAGCTAAAGCCCTTATTTTGCAAACTGACTCTGAAGCTCAATCCTTGTGAAGCAAAAAAGGGCTTTTGAGATGCAGGCAACTAAATTTCTAAGAGGATGGCTTGAAGGACTGAGGTTTTACTATCAATTTTTTTGTCTGCTAACCATCTTGCATTTGGATTCTGTTTTACCTGATGATTTCCAAGAAGTGTAAGAAAGCTAACCTGAAAATAACAAGTCATACCAAAAAAAATGTAAATCAGTGCTGAATTTTACATCATCACTGATGGCTACTACTGTTTGAAAAATCTTCCAGTAAAGACATTTACAAGCATAAACAATTCTGCTGTCTACCCTAGATCTGTACTTGATGGAGAAAGATTTTGCTCCTCCCATAAGAAACACAGTCACTGGTGTAGCTTCATCTTTCTAGATCTTGAGGAAAGGAGGCTCTTTTGGAGGAAGGGAAGAAAGTATCTGGTTGGACATAGCGATAAGAATTATTGCCCATTCATTCAGTAGAAATTTGCTTTTAAGGATAATGAATTATGGGACTTCTCTGAAACATGCGCATCCAAAGATCCCAAAGGCAGCAGTGTCCATGAAGAGATCCTGGCACAGTAAGAGCTACGAAAGAGCTGGCAGTAATGCAGCTGGGCTCAGACATGAACCTGATCTGTGATGGATCTATATGGAGACACCACATTTGAAAGGGATTTTATTGCCTTTTCCCAGTATATGATATAAAGGTGTGTCCATGAAGAAAATTTTTAGGGAGATCTTATTCTGACAGTTTTCTCCTGGGCTTTTCTGCCAGATGGAAAGGGGTGTGAATGATCTTTAACAGGAAAAAAAGAAAAAAAAATCCCTTTCTGCATGTTAGGTAGCAAAGGCAGAACTGCCTGGAGGGCACTGATACAGAAGATGAAAGGAAGACAGTTTGGTCTGCAGTTTGTGATCTTTACCAACCTCAATCTAAGTATAAAAGAAAGAGCATAACTAGATCCAGAGAAAATGGTAATAATATATCAGGTATATATCTCATTTAGCTCCAGCCACAATGATTCATCTGCTTTATGTCTTCTTGCTTCTCATCGGATTTATTTACTGTTAAATCAAAGAAATCCATCTAATTTTTCTGTGTGAAGTTTTTATCTTCTCTGCTTCAGTATGACAGCTGCCTCAGGAACAAGCTCATAGTTTTTTTATCTTCTTTGATGTGTCTTTCAAATGTCACATGGTGAGTTACACGTTATCATTAATTGTTTTCCAATGTTGCTTTTGTGAAGTACAGTCTCCCTTAATGAAGAAAGGAGATCCACTTTTGATGGCCACGCTCCATCTGGTATAAGATTCCACATGCTCCTCGTGTTAGTGGTAATAACCATACAACTGAATAGAGATTTATCTAAGTGAACCCCTTAGCAATTTATAATTGATGAGCATCAAACTTCAAATTTCCTATTCATTTCCACGGAGGTAGTATCAGGTCCTTCAAAATGATCAGTAGCAATTACCCTCTGTGTCTGAAAAGTATACATAGAAACATGAAAATACAGTTTTTAAACTGAAATTTTGAGTTCCTCTTCTGTGGATTATTTCCCCGTGTGGATCTCCTCAGCACTCTGCTTAGCAGCCTTTACTTCTGCATTCACCAGCCCTCTTTATGGGTCTTGAACAGCAAGACCCATGTAAAAGGCAGGGCTGTCTCGGAAGCAGATGTATCTGGGGCATTCCCTTAAAAGGATGCCAGGCACAGACAGAAAGCACAGGTCGTAGGTGATACAGCATCTGCAACGCCTTGTGCTAGCCAACACCATACAGCTCTGCAGGTTGATGAAGACAGACCAATCCTACTTTTGTTGAAAAGCCTTAATAAGATAATTATCTACCTAATTACCTACCTGAATTCATTCACGGAAGCAGATAATTTTTAAATCAGTTCTAAAATGCATGGACTTTTTCCTTATGCCAGCCAATTATTTGAGTTTTAAGATGTTGGATTTCTTTAGTCTACCAAAATTGATAGTTTAAAATTAAAAGAAATTTCTTCAGCCCTCTTCTAGAGACACAAAAATCTCCAGTAACTTTCAAACTGCTCTTACAATAAAATAATCCAAAGTCCAAAAAAGCAGAGGTTTATGGTTTGTTATATTGGTTTTGTGATTCTATGAAACTTGACTTCATTTTATGACTGATATATCACATAAAAGCACCTCTTTATATAAATGGTGATTAGTTCTCACCACATCGCAACTACAACAGTGCACTGGTAAATGAAACTAAAAGTAGGACTCATGAGAGCCTTATTTACAGTTTATGCAAAGGTACTAAGAAAAGACTTGAGAATGATTATTCACCAATTTGCTATGTAACAGAGTGGTGGCCAGATTAGTTTCTTTTGAGCGCGACAGACCTGTTTTTCCTGCTCAGCATATTTAATGGGTGGACCTGGTAATGTACGTAGGGTGGCATGGAGAATATTGTCTTTCAACAGCCTGTCCAAAAATAAAGCCCTGACAAGGTCAAGAACATAGCTCCTCCTAAACCTGCTGACATAAATGCGCATCTTTCTAACAGCTTTAACAGGCTTTGCATCACACTGCCAAAGCCTGACATTTTTGTTGGTCTTCTATTTTTGGGAGGACATTTTTGGTTTACAGTGGTATATTAGAAGGTAGCCATAACACAGTGACTCAGAAACAGATTTGCATATACCAGTTCTGAAAAAAAAGCCATGTGAAATCTCCTTAAAGAGAGATTCTTATAACATGCCCTGCCTCTCAAAGGACAGAAATTTCACAACACATGAATTCTGATTATGCACCAATAAATTACATTAATATCATATTGTCAACAATACTAAATCATAGAATTATAGAATGACTTGATTGGAAGGACCTTAAAGATCACCTAGTTCCAACCCCCTGCCGTGGGCGGGACACCTTCCACCAGACCAGGTTGCTCAAAGCCTCATCCAACCTGGCCTTGAACACTTCCAGGGATGGAGCATCCACAGCTTCTCTGGGCAACCTGTGCCAGTGCCTCACCACCCTCACCGTGAAGAATTTCTTCCTAGTATCTAATCTAAATCTTCCCTCTTCCAGTTTAAAGCCATTGCCCCTTGTCCCATCACTCCATGCCCTTGTAAAAAGTCCCTCCCCAGCTTTCTTGTAGGCCCCTTTAGGTACTGGAAGGCTGCTCTAAGGTCTTCCCAGAGCCTTCTCTTCTCCAGACTGAACAACCCCAACTCTCTCAGCCTGTCTTCACAGGAGACGTGCTCCAGCCCTCGGATCATCTTTGTGGCCTCCTCTGGACTCGCTCCAACAGGTCCATGTCCTTCTTGTGTTGGGGGCCCCAGGGCTGAAGGCAGTACTGCAGGGGGGTCTCACCAGAGCAGGGTAGAAGGGGAGAATCCCCTCCCTCAACCTGCTGGTCATGCTGCTTTTCATGCAGCCCAGGACACGGTTGGCTTTCTGGGTTGCAGGCACACATTGCCGGCTCATGTTGGGCTTCTTGTCAACCAAACTAAACAAACTGAGCATTCACATACCCACAAAAATCTTTGAGAAAGATTCTGGCTAGTCGGCTTGAAACATATAATACTACCTATGACTTCTGTGGAGTGACTGGCTTTAATTACATTTTATTAAGAAAAAAAAAAAATTATACATATGAGTTGACTCATGTCAACTGGCTCCTCAGGAGCTTCCATTCCACCTCCAACCCCAAACATGAAACTCCAGGTCCTCAAATACATTACTACAAATTTGTGATTCTTCATAAATACTTAAAATCTTCAGAAATTTTACAATGCTGCAGGACAGAACTGCTAATACATTAGGTAATGTTAATGGGGCTGTGAGGACATGAAAATAATTTCTGCCCAAAAATAATAAAAAAATAGTTAATGGATTGTGCATTGCTGAAAGTCTCATTAACTCTTTCATTTAAGTGACTGATTTCATACTGAGATTCACAGACTTTAAAGCTAGAATGAACTATTAGATCAAGTCTGAGATTTAAATAATATTGGCCGAGGAACCTAGGTCAGTAATTTGTGTATCAGACCCAGCTGTGCTTGGCTTCCTGGAACTCTTCAGCTGAGGCATTGCTCTCTATGTGCTGGGTGCTGCTTACATGGATTTTACAGAGTGGGAAAATGCAGAGACTGCCTAGTTGGTACCCCAGATTTGATTGTGCCACTCAGAAATGTGGGCAAGCAATGCTGCAAACTTATATCGTATCTTTTACGTGTATTATAGCAAATATATTTTATATAGCACTTCAAAATAAAAAGAATGATTGAGCATCAGTTCTCTTCGAGATGCTGCACAAATCTCTACAGTTAAATCACTCTCCTGCTAAGAAGTCTGAAATAAATGGCTCAGGATGCTTGATGACTTTTCTATGCGTAAAACTTCTATTGACTGCAGTGTGAATATTCTGAAAAAGGAAGTTCTGCAAGTTCAAGCCCAGAAGCAAATACAAGAAATACAAATGGTCAGTTGCAGAATATTTTTAACTACTTTAGCAATTAATTTTTTCCCACATGCATACTTCTTTTTGTAGGACAAATACGTTCAGATTTATTTCTTAATTATATTTATAATATGTGGTAGTAGCAGAAAAAGTCTCTTTGTGACAGCTAGGAATAGTTTGAGCAGGGGGAATTATACCAGCTGCTCTATCAAACAGAGACAGGACAGTGACCTGCTCTGTAAAGTACTTTGAGCACTACAGATCAAAAAAATGCTGTATAGATATTGTTAATTCTTATCTTGAACTGCCGTTATTAGAAATTGTCTTAAATTATAGCAAAAGAAAGTAAGAATATAAGCTCCTATGCACAGGAACTAGTTAATTTGTAGAATGAAATGAATCATCTATCCGAGAAGGTGCTATAAACTCTGTAATGCTGTTGAGAACAGCATGAACAACGTCTTCACTTTTTCCTTAAAAAATATGACCCACTTCAGTCTTCTCTTTTTGTCCTTCCCAGAGAAAGAATACCATGAACTTAGGACCCAATACTGCAGCTGTGGAAGCTATTGATCATAGGATCAAGCCTTCTGGATGTGTAATTCTGTAGAAGACAGCTGATAAATACTGACATAAAAATTAAAATGCTGAAAACATCATGGAAATAACGTAATTTTTAAACTCTCAGATACTGAAGTGGACGTTTGTTTTTTTCCAAACCTAAGAACTGCTGACCTTGCTAGTTTAGCAATAAACATTTTGCAATATGATCTTACTAAGCTAGAACTAATCTTACTTATATATACATACTCTATTGCTAGTAGAACTGATCCAATAAGCAAATGCAAATAAATTTCATTTAAAACTAACAGAATAGTCATTTCAGTATAGCCGAACTAATGATCATGTCAGTGTGTTTAACTAAGTGGAAAGAATAAAGAAGGAAAATCATGCTCTTTAATAGCCAGATTTTGTAGGCAAAACCTAAGTTAAAATAATAAACAAGCACTTCAAAACAAGTAAGTACTGAGTCAGCTGTTGTGACAACAACAATAAAATCAACAGGAGGATTAAAAAAAAGACTGCCTTAGCGAATGTTTTTTCCTTCATGTTTTCACATTCCTTGATTATTTTTTTAAACATTGATTACATGATTGATTCCTCCCATCATTTCCCATGGTGGTGCAAGATCGGTTTGTAAAATCTTACTATACTGTACCTTGATCAAATTGTGTCCTACAGAGTAGACGGTTGTTATTTTCCCTCTCTCTCCAGGAGCATGAATACCTGTGCCATACCCATGCCAAGCAACTAAATACGGATTGTGGATTGTAATCCAATACTTAACACGATCCCCAAAGGTCTGGAAGCAAAAGGTGGCATAGTCATTGAAGATATCAATTACCGATTCATTTTTCCATCCCCCATATTCTTCTTGCAGCATCAAGGGCAGGTCCCAGTGGTACAGCGTAACCACGGGGTCAATATTTCTGTAGAGCAGAGAGTCAATAAGGGTGTTATAATACTGGAGTCCTTTTTCATTGGGAGCTGCTACCACTCCAGTGGGAAAAAGCCTTGACCACGAAATTGAGAACTGGTAAAAAGTAACTCCCAAAAAATCCAGAGCAGACAAATCTTTGTCCAACACGGTGTCACTGTCACTGGAGGCGTCTGTGCTGTCAGCATCCCTGAACTCCGAGTGGATGAAGCGGTCCCAGATGGAGGAGCCTTTCCCGTCCTTCCTCCAGCTGCCTTCCACCTGGAAAGCCCCCATTCCTACACCCCAGAGAAACTCTTTGGGGAAGGTGTCGTACAAAAACATCTGTGTTTCACTCACGGGGCTGAAGTGAGGGTCCTTTTTCCACACAGATCTTCCCTCTCCAGCAAGCCCAGTAACTATCCTTACGAAAACCAATGTCGAAAAAGCAACAAATCTCTCCAGTTCTCGGCCACACATTATGCTGGTTTACAGTGCCAGTGTTAAAAGTCAGTTTTCTTGCACTGACGCTGAAAAAAATCCATTCATTCACTGGAGTTCCCACCATGCAGACTGTCTTCATTTGCTATGAACTGCTGGAGTGTCTTATCAAAGCTTCACTAAAAGCTTGTGATCGTAAAAGCCCTGTCAATGATTACCCTGAACTGTGAGACCTAGAATGGGCCAGAGAATGGCGTAATTTTTAGGGAGGTGGCCTCTGTATGACCACTGAGACACCTAGCTGGCTTCTTACTGCAGGAAAATAGGTTGTCTGAACAGTATAAACTCTAGTAACTAATTTATCATTATTTAAAGCTCAGTCATTCGGGTGGGAGAATATAGGTGACAGAGTGTGCTAAGAAGCTGTCACATCCTTTATTCCCTGTGCAGTTGTATTTCGAGGAAAGGTGACAGAAATGTAATCCAGACTACATAGTCTCCAATTAAAAGGTGATTTATCCTGTCTGTGTAATTGGATGGCTGGAAGGGTAGTGCGTTATTACTCGGTCCTGCCCTGCTCAAACATCCTACTTCTGCTGAAATATTCTCCCTGGACTTGTGGGAAATTTTGTTGTGGACAAGAGATAAACGCACATCCCACTAACTATATAAAAACACAAAGCAAGTCAATATTTCTTTCAAACACATGCAGCTGCTTTTCTATCCTTTACAGAAGTCTGCTGTACAGCTCTGTGTAGAGCTGCAGTACAAAAGTAACAGGGGTTTTTTCTAGTCCTTAAGCAATTTCCCTGGATTTCTTCAAATAAACATAATTAGCAAAGATAATTAGCCCTGAAAGATGATATTTCAGTACTGATTAATTTAATAATATTGCTATACACAGCTGAGGTATCAGTACGGTGAATATACTTACAAAGCAGTTATGCAATAGAACTTCACCTTTTAACATATTTCAAATTGCAACAAAACTACATGTGTTGAGATACACAATTTGTGCAATACAGTAAGACTGATGCCTGCCATTTTTGCTTTTCTCGAGGTACAGTAATCTAAAGTGTATTCACATGTAGACCACATTTGCTGAAGAGATCTGCAGAACAAGATAGCAGTGTGAAGTAACTTTCTATGCGAGAAAGATATGCACTGAAATCTGAACATGGCAACAACTCACCACCTAAAAGTATAGCACTCTGCTTGGATGAAGTAGCCCTGCTGGGATGTAGGACATGGAAGTCCAGATGGACTGCTGGGCTGCTGCCGCTTTACTGCTCCTGCTGCCTGTGAGAACATGCTTGCAGCATTGCATAATGCCATCGAAACCTACCTTTAGTTTAACAATAAAGTTGATTAATCAATAGAAGATGGAAGACATTTTATTTATTTGTTTTTATGATAAACCACAAAACCTCAGAGCATGTTTGTAAGCATTTCTCTGCAGCACCTTTACAAGAAAGTTTCACCAGAGATGAAGAAGAACGCTCCCACTGACATCTTCTGCGCTGCAGATCCCTGCTGGTGGAGTAGCCATACATCTAAGATGAGCCTCTCCCATGTAACCAACCCAGCACTCCCTCAACTACCTGAAGTAACTGATACACACTTCTCAGCCAAGATCATCTTGGGAAAAAGAGGAGTAGATAGGGACTGTACCAAGTTGGTCTACAGTATATAGTGACATGTTCCTTTTTTTATTCTATTTTAAAATGCTAATTTGGATATTTACTGCATGAACATAATGCTTCTATTTTAACATTTAAAAGCTTTGATTGTATGTATCGTACTTTATGAAAGAAAACCCAAATACCAATCGTTATGGATGCCACTGTACTTCTAAAGCAGTTAGTTACCATGATTACCAGATGTCTGAGTTCAAAACACACTCGACAGCTCTGTAAGACCACAGCAATGCATTGGCAAGGCAAAGACAACAGGGTCCTCCCCACAAGCTACAGCAGAGTTCGTACCACGGGCATCTTATTGCAGACAACGTGTGGCAGCTGCCTGAGGTGTGAAAGGTGCAGCAGAGACTTGTGCTCCCAGATGCTTGATCTGGACAAAGTTATGAACTGTATTTTGTTCCTTATTACCAATATGACTGGGAGCGTGCTATAGTCAAGGCTTGAAAATGTTTCAACGTTTCAAGCCTCTGAATCCCGTTTCTTACTGCTTTGGCATAGTTAACTGTTTGGACTATAATGTTACTTGATAAATTTAAGGAGGAAGCAATTTAACTGATGACAGTCATACAGTGACTTGAATTTGGAAGGAAGTTTTGATTAGCTGAGCAAAGAGTTGGGGAAAAGAAACACTGTGACTGCTAATTTGGAAAACAATTAGCACAGAGGAATGAGATGTGATCAGGGGCTGTTGAGAAGCAAGGGTGCAACGGGAGGGGAAGAAGAAGGAATGAATTATTCCCTCAGCTCAAGGGGCAGAGTCCGTACAGACTCCAGCCCTGACGCTGTACGTGGACATCAGTGTGATGCTGCACAGTGGGACTGCCTGCCTCCGGCCGCGCACCTAATAAATCTGGTTTCAGAATGAACCAAGGCTGGGGAGAGGCTGAGGTCTCCAGGGCACCTGCCGTTACTGTTACAGTAGTTGGGAAGCCTCATGATTATTCAGTTCAATTCTTAGCTATCAAACTTCCTTTTGTATCTTTGCCTCTGCCAAGGCAAGCGATTCAAATGATGAAAACAACTTTTCACTTCACCACTGAGTATGTAATATCCCTGTTTTAGGGGCTTGGCTTGAAAACCTGGGGTTTGATCTGCAGAAATGCCGAACACATCAGTCAAAAGTAGAGTTCTGAATGTATGCAACGTTAGGCTGAGTATACATTCATTCTGCCTAGATATGCAAATGAAGAGAGGGAAAAGATGTAAAGACAAAGTCACTTAGCTGCTCAGATCTACTAGGGCTAGGTGCTCAAAAAAGCACAACTTAAGTAATTACCCTCAACAGTGTGATGTAAGTGAAACTTATCTTTACCTTATACAGCAAAACCTGTTTGAGATGGGATCAAGTCTTTTCTAAAGACTCATAATTGTGATGGATACTATAGAAAGCCTAATGTAAATAGAAACTAGACTACAGATTTACAAAGAATTTTTGGAATTTTTGGTCTGCAGCAAAATGCTAATTACTGTTTCTACAATGTGAAAGAAATTTGATTTTCTTTACTAGAGACTCTAGTAAGCAAAATATTCCCTACAGGATTCCTCCAAAATAGAGCCTACAATCTAGTAAATGAGAATTTTAATGTCCATTAATGCTATGAGAAAATACAGCATTTAACGTGACATTTCAGTTTCAGGAAACAAATTTTTGTTGTGTTTCCATAATCATCTCAGCATTACCATACTGTATTTCTTTAAGGCAATTCCTAACGTCAGAGGTCCTTTAGATACACATGATGCTCAGAACATCTCTGTTCCATTATAAAGATTTCTTAAATGATCGAAGTGTGTTGTCCCCTAAAACACATTAGAAACACTGCCTTACGGACTTCAAAAGTATTTCAGTGTTAAGCTACAAGTATCTGCCTTATACTTCAATTAAGTTTCAAACAATCCAAAACACAGATTTTGTAGAACAGTAAATAAAACACTGCTTCAAGTTGCAACAAAAGTTGATTTCATTTCCAAAATTTAATCAACATACCAATATACAAAAATTTGAAAATAAACAAGAAAATATCAACAAAAAGAAAACAGACTATTTTTTATTTCTCAATATAAGAAAATGTATTTTTGTTATAAACAACCTCCTCTCTCTCAACAAGCAAGACAAAGCCTTCACTAATAACAACAACAGTAGGACTGGCTTTGTTCAATAGGGGAAAAACCCTCTAGCTCAAGAGTAGATACCTCACTTTTTAAAGGTACTTTGGAAAAACTAACATAAAAAGCCAAATAGTCTGTGATTTTCAGAAAGGTAGAAAACAAGTCTATTTTTTAAAATTATTTGTTTTAGTTGTAAATAGAGTGATGATATTGAGCATACTTTAGCCACTTTTTTAAAAGCTGTACTTTTAATTGGGTGATATACCTTTAAAACATGACCCATGATCAATTATAGAGTCAAAAGGGATATTGCCTTCATTTTATCTTGCAAAGCGCATTGTAATACAATGAATATTCGGTTTTATTTCCTGTGGCAGAGCAAGGTTTTTCCCACTTCCAGTGGTTTCATAGCCATGCACGTAGAAACAGAGGTACCCTCTGCCTCCCCACCATACCCAGGAGTGAATTAGAGTCATTCCAGGTATTCAGTCTGATCTCTTCATAAAGGGTTAAACTCTTGCCTTCCAAGAAACATGAACATGTCACAAGCCCACAAGCAGATATGGCTCTGCTGGATGTTATTCTAGGTAGCTTTATCAACTACAAATAGAGATAACCACCCGCAATAATTCTTTCAGCATTATTTAAGCAGTTTGTCTGGCTCTTACAAATGTCAGCCATTTTAACTACTCTTTAGTTCTGGTATCAGGAATATGCACAGCTTTAAAAATTACATAATGAGAATTAAATACGTAAATACAAACATATCACTGGAGATGTTTCTCTAAAGTGATACCAGTTTTGTTTGCATAGCCATTATAGTTGAGTGCACAGGGAATAACTTGCAAAACAGACTGAAAAGCACAGCCTGTGCTATGGGCCTATGTTTACATGCTCGTTCTGTCATGTGTTTCTTACGCAGAAATCCAAATTCACAAGCCATGCTTGTGTTGAAAATATGAATCCACCTGACCACGTGTTCATAAAAGCACAGTAGCAACTTCTATACAAACAGGGTCTTACAATTACTTAAAGTTCAATTTAAAGAATTAAACAGGAATGGTAATAGGTATCACTAACATTCATCTTTTCTCAGATCGGACAAAAAGATCTGACTTTTATCTCTATGTAATTATCTTTGCTGGAGTTTGACCATGCCACCAAGCAGACAGTCTCTTGTTCTTCAAAAAAGAAAGAGAAAGAAAATAAAGTGAATACAGAAGGTATACAAATGATAGCACTGTAAATTGCACTATGAGACAAGCACAAATTGAGCTTGTACTCTTTGCTTTTTTTTGGTGTGGTTTTCTAAATCAATGGCAATAGTTTTAAATGT